TGTTTTGAATTTCTTTTTCAATATTAGCTAGATGTGTTCACATAGGCAGGCTAGCATTTAACTTGCTATACATGTATGTAAGAGATGTTGTTTCTTTCATGATGTATACCATATTATATACAATATCAAATAAAGAAATGATACTTACCTATAAGGGGAAACCCCCAAATATATATATATATATATAATATATACATATTATAACAAGATTTAAATTTAATTTTGAATTATCAATTAAAATAAAATTTTAATAAGTAGAAACCTAATTTAAAAAGTTTTTATTTATCAATATAAATTTTTTTTTGTATAAAACATATTAAATAATTTATATAATATTAATATATTAAGATTATTTAATGTAATTTAATTTAATATATTTAAATATGTATATCAAAAAATGATTTATATATTAAATAAATTAATTTAAACTATATATATAATAAAATTGAATTTAAATATATTTTAAAAATTATATTATAATAGAATTATTAAATAATATATAGTGAATAATTAAAAATCAGATTTAATTCAAAATTTTTTTATAATAATACAATTATATACAATATATAGTTTAAATTATTTAAATTATAATTAAAAATCAATTTAATTGTATTATTATAATTAAAAGTTTTATTTTATTAATTGGCTATAACATAAATTAGCAATAAATTAATTAATATAAAAAGAATAAGTTTTTATAATCAAATATTAACATTTTTTTTAGCAATTTATAAATAATAATATTATTATATTATATATATATATAATTTTATACAAAAAATTTTTTTGTTTTTTTTTAAAATTATAAGTTTATATTAAAATAATAAATTAAAAATATAAGCTAGCAGCAACTTTTGAAATTGAAATATAAAATATTATATTTAGAGAATTAAAAAAATTTAAGAATTATATACAAATCTATAGACTTATTGTTAAGTGTACTGTAATTAGTAAAATGTTTAATCACAGTATATTGATCATATTGATTAATAAATGTAATTTAAATTACAGCCTAATTAAAAATGAATAAATATATATACTGTACAGTGTATATATATATAATTTTATTTTAACTTATTGATTTGATATTTATTGAATTACGTATAAATAAAAATAAAATTTATATTATTATTATTATTATTTTGAATTGGACTGTATATACTGTATTTAATTTTTTTTTTTTGATTATTTTATATAATTAATTGAATTATATAACAGAAAATGATTTTTATTTTATTAATTAGAAAAAAAATATTTTTTTACGTGCCGTATTTCAAGATACGTTGTTTACAATCTGTCCTTAGTATGGTTTTATGGAAATTGTATTCTTTTCTTTTAACTTATTTGATTCGACGTTTAATTCTTTATGGATTATTTAAATAAAAAGATAGTTATTAGTAATCTTGCATTTTATTATCACGATATCTTACAAATCAGATGCCCACATGCAGCTTTCATACTTAACTGCTGTATAAAATAAAATATGAGTGCAGAAGGTTTAAAAACATACTGCATATATACTGTTCTTGGTTAATTAAAAAGAATGATTTCATAAATAAAAATTTTGAATGTTTGCGATTACAAGGTTCCTTCAATAACGGTGATGATATTTCATTACAATAGATTGTAAATGAATAGGTAAGTGTAAAGTAATCAAAGGATCATTTCATAATACAAAGCACTTCATTTTCATTGTTCTGATTTGTACGATCGTCTTTTCCTCGCCTCCACTTTGTCAGCCTTGTCAATGAAAGGACGAACCAGATCAATTCATACGAAAGTTTAGAACAATGCATGTAACAACAATAAACGAGAAAGGTTTCGTATGCCGCATATACGTAATAATTTGTAGATTACTCACAGCTATGAATGACCGGCAATTTTCACTTTCGACTTGACGTAACGGTGGTAACACTCATTTAAAGCAATATGTTAAAAAACGTATTCTTGAGATTGACCAAAAACATGTTTATAGAATTGAAACATGCATTGCCAGTGATTTGCAGGCTAAGTTTGAAAAGATAAACAAAAAATATAGTAACTTGGATGATAAATTCTTGGTATATACAATCATCTCGAGGTTATCAAGATCGATTCACATCAAGAACTTACATGTATATTTTTATTTGACCTCGGGAGAACAATCATAGAATGAGAATGCGTGCATTATAATAGGACGAAAAATAGGCAACGAATCTTTGTGCTTTGTGAATAGACCTAAATTTGAAAAACAAATCACGGGATGAAATGTGGTAAATCATTATGCGTAATGCCAAAATTTTGATTACACAAAGGATTTCTTTGAAAAAAAACTTGGCAACTGTTACATTCGACATTTTTTTCATACCATCGAACATTTCATAATCATTGCACTATTAAAAAATAGTAATGAATAAATTCAAATAAGTAATATCAGACAGATTCCATAATATTGAAGGTTCTTTGATCATGAATATTAAATTAAAATGGTTAGTGGGTACGTGTACCAGCGTTAAAGGAAACGGTTTAGTATATTTTTTAATAGTAAATAAGAAGGCGGGAGATATCTAACAATCTTAACATGTCAGCAAATTTTGCGTACTATACAGAGTGTACATGAAGAAAAACGAATAACTACAAAAAATTTTTAAATCTTAATAAAGGTCGGAATCTTAAAATGATCATTAACTTTCGAAGAGTTCTTTCCTTAATTTAAGTAAATCTATTTGGTTTACTTATGTATTTTTTTAATGACGAAAAAGTTAGATTCATAATGATTACTTATTTGGTGGTTTAATTGGTTTGATTCTCACAAAAAGAAATACAAACAGCGTAAGCCCTTGCTCCCAATCCGAGAAACTTTATATTTTCCAGAACGCTATGCCAGTTCTCGGGTGTGAAAGTGTCATACCATTTGTCATCATTTCCATCATATAAATATTCAAGAATTGACTCAAAGGTTCCAGGAGAGGGAACAGTGATGGTGATGGGTTCATTTCTGTTCTTGACGCGATTAAAGATATCATTAAAGAAAATTGATTGGAGAACGAGGAATTCTTTATGTATCCAAAATTTTCGAGCAATCCCTTCAACACGAAGCTCCGCGAACGAAGTCGCTTTATCATTGTAATATTGGTAGCCTATTAGATGAAGTTTTTCAATGAGATATGCCGTGATAGGGCTTACATTTATTATTTTGTGCCCAATGCGATTCTCTTTAGAACGCGTTTTTCGTAATCTTCGATTTGTGGACATTTTGATTTTTCTTAAATTTCTCTATAAGGCTACACTAAATACGATGTCTATATCTTAGGGATTCCTTTGATGTCGAAAGTAAAACATACTGCTTTTATGCTTTCCAAAAATCATGTGATTTGATTTGATCACAATAGGATTATTATTGACAATATGTAACACCCCCAAGAAAAGCCGCCCACCTGGAATCGGTTTCAACGTTTTAATTCTCTGACAAAAGGAGTATTATTATTTGAAACATTGATGAGTGAAATCAAAAGTATCTGAATGTGGCACATTAAAAGTTTGTAATGTTACGTCTATTAGTTTCGTGCTACATTAATTAAATTTTGTAATGGAAATTTCTCTTTCTACCCGAGTTTTCTAAACTAACTTATACGACACACCCCCCAAAAACTGTTTAATAAAAACGTAAACGTCAATTATTCAAAAGAGTCGTGATTCTCTTGATTTTTTACTTCAAACATCAATTTCATCACCTTAAATTTATGTTTGCGACTACTCTGGCAGGAACAATGTAATTGATAATTTTGTCGGGGCAAAAATAAAGTTTGTTTGTTATGAGTTACCAAGATTGAAAGTTTTCTGGTCGCACCTTCACACGTGATACAAAGATTTTTCTTAATAATCTACCATATATAATATGCGTACTTTTTTTTATTTATTCCAATTTTGGTTTTAGTTTGACCGATCAAACTTGCTAAAAAATTTTAGATGTTACAAAATTTGGACTAAACAAACAAAACACACCTGTACTCGTGAATATCGTTACTAAGATTCTTTTACGTTTTACTGATAGTCGAAATTTTGATGCGGGTATATGGTAAAAAAAACAAATTCCCGGAAAGTAATATTTAAGTTTTATTTGTTAAAACTTATTATAATTAATTAAAGGTAGTATTACATATTCTATTAACAAATTAGCTTTTGCATATGAAATAACAATTTATTATAATAAATTTTATTTATAACATAGTATAGTATTTAATGAATTTTTATAAATAAATAAATATTAAAATTATATAAATAATATTAAAAACATATTTTTAAAGTATAATAATAAAAAATATTCATTTATTTATTAAATAATCTTAATATAATGATATTTATTATTTATTTAAAGTTTTAAAAAATTTCAAATATGCAAATTAAAAAATATATTATAAAAATTTTTATAAAAAATTAATTACTAATAATTTTTAACAATATTTGTACAATATTAAATATCAATAATTTTATTAAATTAGTTAATAAAATAATTTTGTAAAAAAAATATTTGTAATATTTAAAAATTTTAAAAAAATTTTTTTTATTTAAAAAAAGAAAAATTTAAATAATAAAAATAATAAATCAATTAAAGTATTTTATAACAAACTTGTTTCTAAGATATTAAAGAATATATATATATAATTTTATATAATTTAAATCAATAATTATAAAATTATAACCAAATTTATAATTTTTATTTCTTATAAATACCACTGTATATGGCATGGATATAATATACAGTTTGATAAAATTTTTTTTTAAATATCTATTTTAACTTATAATATATATTGTTATATTTTAAGATTTCAAATTTAGTTTTATATAAAAATATGTTAATTTTTTTATTAAAATTAATTTAAGGATATAACATTTTTTAATTATTTTATAATTTTAACAAAAAAATTATCCAATAATAATTAACAAATTAAGACATATACTGTATACAGTATTCTTTTATTTTATTTATTTATTTATTATTTATTTATTATTTGTTGTATTAAATATATTTTTAAAAAATATTAAAATAACAAAAACATTTTATTTATATATTAAAATATTGATTTTACTTAATAGAAAAGTCTCTTAACATTTTAATATAATAATATATTAAAAACTTGAATTTAAATTAATAATAAAATTTTCATTTTTTAATAAAATTCTATTTTATTTATTTTTTTTTTTTAAAGTAGGTAAACATTATTTCTTTATTTGATTTGTATATGTCAAGGTATACATTGTAAAAGAAACAACATCTCTTATACGCTATTGCGATAAGTTAAATGCTAGCTTGCCTATAGCAACTACTTGACTAATATTGAAAAGAAAATTTAAAACAATA